TTATTGCATTCGCAAGGAATTTTATAAATTACATTTTTTGTATTTTCAATTATATCATGAGGTTTTGTTACTGAAATTTTACTTCTAATTGTATTCTCATTATTAAGTCAAAGTCACATAACTGACAATTTGCACAGACGAATTATCAGAGCGAATTTTCATATATTCTATTATCCTACTATTGTTACACAATTTATTAACATATTCTTTTTTAGGTTCATTTAGGTTCTTTTGATAACGATAGCAGAAAATAGCTATCGAAACATCAAGGTAATTTTTCAAATTAATTTCTCTACTAATTGGAATTTTCCCTTACAGCTTGAGCCTAAGTGTGTCGCAGGATACCCTCTAGGTGATAGTTGTTGATTACTTTTTGATAAATAATTCGTTCTTATTGCAAAATAGGAGCACTATTTATCAATCTGTAATAAAAGACGTGAGGAAGTTCTCTCTTTTTTAAAGACAAAAATTTTTGAGGCGAAATACCCAAAAATGGAGTGTTTGTGTTGACGGTTTTTCTAGTTATTATCACGACTTGCGAAAAGAGCAACTTTGGAATGGAGACTTTTTGGAACATCAGCTGTGTATAGGTTGTAAAGAGTGGATCGGATGGAGAATTTTGTTTCGTTCAGAGTTATGAAAAACTTTCTCTCGTGGAGAAAGTTTGCCACAAACTGAACGAAGGTCAGGGGTAGTTTGTGGATGTTTTGGAGTTTCACATTTTTTTCATTTTTCATTTTTCATACTTCATTCAAGATTATACCTTCGTTCGGGTACTTCCCACAGGGCCTTAACAACGGAAGTGAGAATGTTCTGGACTGCCACATTGGCGTCTCCATTGTTCACTGGAAAGCCATAGTCAAATTATAGATTCTTGATGAATCACGCGGTATATTTGAGGAAATCTTTTGAAGTCATCAACTTACGTCCCCAGTAGTACTGATCCAAAGTCTTCAGCCAGCCGACATCGTCGTGCGAATGATGAATCAAATGCACATTGATTTTATCGGGGTCGGTATCGTGGCATTGCACGCAACTGTTCAGCACATCTTGGACCTCTTTGATGCGAAAAGCTGTAGCTGAGTAAGCCACCAGCACCAGCAAGCAGCACAGAACACGCACGGTTGATCTCATCATGATCGACTTGAAGGCAGAGCCCTGACTGAGCCATATTTAAAGCCTTATCGAAGTGCAACTGTGGACCGATAAAGAAGTGGAGTGGAATCAACAAATACTTGATAGAAGCAATTTGTGCGACTTTGCCTCAAGAGGCGGGAGCAATTGTTGGGAAGTTTTAGACAGACAATTTAGCAATAATGGAATTTATTGACAACGATTTTTAATCGTCCATGGCAAAGTCGAGCGTAAAAAACTGTTGTTATCAAAGTGTTGGTTTGAGTGTTGGAAAAACAAAAAATCAAGTGGACGATTGCACAGCTGTATCTAATAACTGCCATATAAAATCGATAAGACTGTCGCTAATCAGCCTCTCAGTTTCTGCACATTCTCAAAAAAGCTTTGCTTGATATCGTCAAGAGCCTGCTTCTTCTTCTGCTCCTCGATCCATTCCAGGGCTCGTCGAATCTGCAACGGAATGGGTGGAGGAGTCGGAAGATGGGCTCCATGTGGCTGAAACCCGTTCTCATCTGCTATATATTCTAGATGAATGGGGAGTCCTTCTGGAGAATGATAGAAGAAGGATCCAGTCACCTGCGGGATTTTATCGGTTTCTAGATTTTTTATTGTTCCTGTTTGCTGGATGCGGATTCCTTTGTCGGTTTCAAAGCTAAAGCAAATGAGGAATTGTATTGTCATTTGAATGGTGGAAAATACTGAGTGTTCGAAAAAAGCGATTTTTTTTTGTTAAGTGTGTTTAGCTCGCGGTTTATAACATGCTCAATGTTTCAGATAAGAATTCGTATTTTTACCCAAGTTTCAGTTTTGATTCTTGATTTCTACAGAGTGTTTGCAAAAAATGGGGCTTTTGAAAGGAATTTGCCGGAAATTCAACAGCTTTTTTCACTTTTTACACCCATCGTCCGCCCCTTAGAAATAACCGCTTAACTTCCAACCAATAGCAGGTTGCAACTGAAAATTTCTACAGGGTGTTTGCAAAATGTAAGTCTACTGACTCGCGAAATTTGACTTATGATACAATGTTAAACTTGTGATAAAATCAATATATCTGCAAGCCCTTGGAAAAAAGGGTACAACTGGGGAGTTATATATATATATGGTTGGTGAACCAGTTCGCGTTTTAGCTCCAAATTTCTACAGAGTGTTTACGAAATGTCAGGCTTTGAACGGGTAAAATTAGATAAAAAGTGAAGTAGTTGTTGATTTTTCAACTGCCACTTAACTTGCGGTCGATACATCAATACAAGCACAGACTCTTAGGCAATAAAATATAACTTCCATACAAGTTTCAGTTGCCTGCAAAATTTGCTACAACGTAGTTGTGAGGGACAAAGGTATACTTTACGGAAATTTTATGGAGATCCAATGGCTGGCTGATTTTCCACATTCTATTAAGACTGGGGTTGACGTAATCAATATACCTACAGCCTCTTGGGAAAAAATGTGTAACTTCCAAACAAATGCAATTAGCAACTTCAATTTTCTTCGGAGTGATTACAGAAGATCCGTCTATGAACTAGTGAAATTTAAGCCAAGTCCAATAATTCAACGATTTTTTAGAGGATTTCAAACTTCTTCTTCTTCCAGTTTTCTCAATCAACCAATTTGCAGGCTCTGGGACAAACGCGCCTAACTTCTCAACCAGTTCGAGTTTCACCTTCAAATTCCTACAGGGTGTTTACAAAAAACTTAACTTTCAACCCGTGAAATTAGACAGGAATAGAAGGACCGGATTTTTTAAATTCCGCTGGACAATCTGCGCGATTGAAAAATCTTAGGCAACAGAGCATCATTTCCACACAAGTTGCAGTTTCCCGCCGAAATTTTACAGGGTGATTGCAAAATATCAAGCTTTTTGCATTTTAAGGAAATATTACTCGTGTCCAATGGCCCATCATTTTCCACATTCTGGTAAACTGGACACTATCAATACAAATGGGGGTCTTGGGAAAAAATCGTAACTTCCAACCAAAAACAAGTTTCAACTTGAAACTTTCACACAGCAATTACAAAAGGTATTGCCACAAATGGGTGGAATTTGAGTTTAATGCAAAAGCTAACTGATTTTTCAGACAAAGTCAAACCGGTGGGGAACATAATCAGTTCATCTGTAAGCCCTTAGAAAAACATGTTTAACTCCACAAGCAAGTTGAGTTTCAGCTTCAAATTGCTAGACGGTATTTGGGCAAAGCGAAGCTTTTAGCATGCAAAATTAGATAGAAATCCAAGGGCTTATTGATTTTTGAAAATCGCTTCATGTTCTGTCGAAAATGTCTTGCAACTTCTTAAGAAAAAAATTGTAACTTCCCGAAAAGTGCAACTAACAACTTCAAATGTTACAGAGGCATTAGAGTAGATGAGTCTACAGATCGGTGAAATTTGAGTTTAAACCAATAGTTAGTTCATGGGTTTTTCAGACGATGTCAAACCCATGTTTTCTATATTCAATATATCTGCAAACTCTTGAACAAACGGGTGTAGGTTTGCGTGCCAACTCGTGCGAGTTTCAGCTTCAAACTGCTGCAAAGCCTTTACAAAGAATCAAGCTATGAATAGCTCGAACTGGGAAAAAATAGCAGGGCTCAATGATTTTTAAATGTCTGTGGTAAACTTGCGGTCGAAAATGTCAATATAAAAAAAGACACCTGCACCACCTTATGAAAAAAATTATAACTTCCAAATAACAGCAAATAGTAACTTGAAATTGTTATTGAGTGATTAGAGGAAATGAGGCTTCCGATTGGCAAAATTTGAGTTGAAGGCATTTACTGGTTGATTTTTCAAACGAACTCAAACTTGCAGTTGACTCACGCACAACTCCAATCCTTAAAAACAGGTGTATCTCCGCAACCAAATCAAGCAGCAACTTGAGTTTTGTACAAGTTATTCTGGAAGAGTTATTCTAAACAACGAGTAAATTTTCAGAACGCAGCAATAATAATACTTACGCATACTCGTAATTGCTATTCGGCTGCAAATCCGAAACGAATTTCAATGTTTTGGCTGCATGATACAACGAAAATGATGTTGTAGAAGGTAAAATTGCCCACATGATCATCCAAATCATTGAACTTTCCAACATTATCTAGAAATGTTTACGAGTGTTTTTCACTTTTAGTGGACAAAGTTCGAATAGGCACTCAACCGACTTTTTCTTTGGCCTTACTTACGTTTGAACCGCCAATCAACATCATCAAGGAGACTGAAAATTTTCCGAGCACTCATTTTTATTTATACGAGATTTTTACTGTTTGTATATTGTTGGGCGGGTGAATAATTAATTGATGGCAAAACACAAGACATAAATAATCGAAGCAGGGGCCAACAAGGGAACTGGATAATTATTTATAACAGACATTTGAAGTAGCGATGAATTTGCGTAGATTTTCAAGTGGTCATTGTTGGGACTATCAGATCTGCGGCTGTTTAGATAAAATCTGTTTCTTCGTATTGATTCATCCGGTACTCAGCCGCCTTGTGAAGAGGCTTGTAAATTTTAATCACTTTCAGGCAAGAACATAATTCTTCATGATGTCTTTTAGCTTCGGGCTGTTGGCTTTAGGATGTTAAAGAATGCCATTAAAAAACGTATTGTTAAAAAACTGTATTGTACAATCCAAAGACTGTCTTAGACTAGACATTTTGTCGGTACGTGCTAAGATTTACAACCGCCAGGACATACTTTAGAGCCGCTTTCACCCTGCAGTTGTTTAACGGTTGATTCCAGCTTTCGTTTCTCCTTCTGCAGCTCCTCCAGTTCTTCGCGCAGCTTCTCACAATCATCTCCACTGGATATCTCTCCACCTAATGCAAATATTGGTTTTCAGGGCCCCAATAATAAATTTCCTAGCTGTTACATGCAAAGCATCGAACTCTAATAATTTCGAGACTGTTTAAGCACGTATTATTTGTTTATTGGCCGATAAATTCCTGATTTGAATATACTTTAAATATTGCGATTGATCCATATGTGCTTAGCTCGTGAGACGAAAATGGGAATTAAAGCAAGATATGGGATGGATTAATTTGAAGAAACCGACAATATGAAATTGGCTCCGATTAGTTAACAGCTCGGAACCAATTTCATATTGTCGGTTTTTTTGAATGAATCCATCCCATATCTTGCTTTAAATTCCAAATCAAAATTAATTCCTGGGTTTCAGTCATTTATTGTCTTTGTTTATCAATTAAAATACGTTTCAGTGTATTTTTCCACCATCATCAGTTTTTCTAAAATAACATAGATACAAAAAAATTCATTAATTTAAGAAACAATCACAGTTCGTCAACAGCCTCATCATATCACACATTAAAGTACATCACAATTGCAACACTTTTAAACATTCTAAAATTAATTAGGCCTAACAGGTGATTAGTCAGGACAATCAAATTTGGGAAGAGACTAGAAATCTTTGTTCAGATAGAGTAATTCCGGGAGAGATGAACCACCTTTTTTGATTCGACTCTATCTTCTCAAAAAATAGCTTTATTGACGTAAAAAAAATGTTGTCACAAACATTTTAACTAACCGCAATCAGAACTGTAACTAAATACTAAAAACTCGAACACATTTGCTGACAAAAAAATAAAATAAAAAACCGTTATGTGGTCCAACTAACCCGAAAGCTGCGGGATAGTTGAACCACCAATTTGGGACAATTGGACCACACAGGGAGAGATGAACCGTAACAAATGATAAGTAACAAAATTAAACTTAATTAATTTTTTTTTAATTTTTTAATTAATAAGTTTTTTTGCGACATTCATTGTACACATTTTCAAAGTTTGTACACGACTCATGAAACACCTTCAGCAACTCTTATGCTAAGATCTGAATGACGGCTTAGGAAAAGATGTAGCGAGTCGTATTCTGCC